ATGTTTATAATCTCTGTTACTCAAAGGCCAATTGATAGAACTAAAATCCATGTTTTAAAAATATAGTGTACACATTAAAACCTATCCAACCAGGCCAGTTCCCTCAATTGAATTTTGAAGTTATTAGTTCATTTTAAAGACTTTTCATGTCCTAGGTAGTTTGGTTCAGTGGCTAGAGGGTCAGACCAAAGGGTCCCAGGTTCGATTCTGGTCAAGGGCACATACCTTGGTTGCAGACTCCTCCCGGGTCTGGGCCCTGGTCAAGGCTCGTGCAGGAGGCAACCAATCAATGTGTTTCTCTCACATTGATGTTTCTCTCTGTCTTTCCCTCTCTTCCACTCTCCCTAAAAGCCAATGGAAAAATATCCTCGGGTGAGGATTAACAAACAAACAAAAAAGACTTCTCATTCTTCTCTAAGATTCTCTTAAAAATTAAAGACTAGCCTGGCTGGTTTGGCTCAGTGGATGGAGCCTCCACCTGTGGACTGAAAGGTCCTGGGTTCGAGTCAAATCAATGGCACATGCCTGGGTTGCGGGCTTGACCCCCAGTAGGAGGCATGCAGGAGGCAGCCAACCAATGATTCTCTCTCATCATTGATGTTTCTCTCTCTCTCTCCCTCTCCCTTCCTCTCTGAAATCAATAAAAAAATTTTTTAAAAAAATTAAAGACTAGCCTGGCTGGTGTGGCTCAGTTGGTTGAGTGTTGTCCCATGCACCAAGAGGTCCCTAGTTCAATTCCAGTCAGGGCACATGCTTGGATTGCAGGCTCAACCCCCAATAGGGAGCGTGCAGGAGGCAGCTGATTGATGTTTCTCTCAATTCGATGTTTCTCTTTCTCTCCCTCTCCCTTCTTCTCTCACTAAAATCAATTTTTAAAAACCCACATATTTTTTAAAAACTAAAGACTAAAGGGAGACTGTAAGACAGGTACCATGGTTTTCCAAAGGATTTACCTTAGAGCTTTATATATATACTAGAGGCCCAGTGCACAAAAATTTGTGCACTCGGGGGGGCGGGAGGAGTCCCTCAGCCCGGCCTGTGCCCTCTCACAGTCTGGGACCCCTCAGGGGATGGCCACCTGCTGGCTTAGGCCCACTCCCCGGGGGATTGGGCCTAAGATGGCAATCAGACATCCCTCTGGCAGCCCGGCAGCCCTCGGGGGATGTCCACTTGCCAGCAGGGAGCAGGCCTAAACTGCAGTCGGACATCCTTAGCGCTGCTGAGGAGGCAGGAGAAGCTCCCACCACCACTGCTGTACTGGCAGCCATCAGCCTGGCTTATGGCTGAGCAGAGCTCCTCCCATGTGAGAGTGCCCTGACCACCAGAGGGCAGCTCCTGCATTGAGCGTCTGCCCCCTGGTGGTCAGTGTGTGTCATAGTGACCAGTCATTCCCACTCCTTCTGCTGTTAGGGTCAGTTTGCATATTACCCGTTTACTATATAGGATAGAGGCCTGGTGCATGGGTGGAAGCCAGCTGGCTTGCCCTGAAGGGTGTCCCGGATCAGGGTGAGAGTCCCACTTGGGTGCCTGGCCAGCCTGGATGAGGGGATGATGGCTGTTTGCAGCTGGTCACACCCTCTTCAGGGTGGGGGTCCCCACTGGGGTGCCTGGCCTGTCTGGCTGAGGGGCTGAGGGCTGTTTTTAGGCTGGTGGGCGACTGAAGCTCCCAGCCTCTCCTTTTTTCTTTTTTTATTCTGGGATTTATTTACCTTCTATAGCTGTCACCGGAGCTGAGAGCTGGCTCCAGCTCTGAGGCAGTTGCTGGCTGAAAGCAGGTACCTGGGATTTGTTTAGGTTCTATAATTGCAACATAGTTGCATCCGGAGCTTAGAGCTGGGCTGCGGCAGGCGGGGAACCTTGGCTTCCTCCGTCACTGGAGCAAGCAAGCCTCATGTTCGCTTCAGCTGCCTGGCTGCCGGCCGCCATCTTGGCTGGCAGTTAATTTGCATATCTTGCTGATTAGCCAATGGGAAGGGTAGCGAAGTTACGGTTAATTACCATGTTGCTCTATTATTAGATAGGATTCTAAACCTCACCCAAGACTATGTTTTTATTGATTTTAGAGAGAGGAGGGGGAAAAAGAGAGGGAGAGAAAGAAACATCAATGTGTGAGAGAACCATCAATTGGGTGCCTCCTGTATGTGCCCTGACTGGGGATCGAACCCAAAACCTAGGTACGTGCCCAGATCAGGAATGGAACCCAAAAGCCTTTGGTGTAGGACAGTGGTCGGCAAACTGGCCCTTGGGTGTGGCTCTTCCACAAAATACAACATGCGGGTGCGCACGTACAGTGCAATTGAAACTCCGTGGCCCATGCCACGGGGCCAAAGAGCCGCATGTGGCTCGCGAGCCGCGGTTTGCCGATCACTGCTGTAGGACGACGCTCCAACCGAGCCACCTGACCAGAGCTAACGCTTCATATTAAACTAGAGGCCCGGTGCATGAAATGCATGCATGGGTGCATTCCATAGGCCTGGCCGGTGATTGAAGCACAAGCGTCTGGCGTGGAAGGGCAAGTTTCAGCTGAACTCTGGGCCCTGGGCAGCACCTGGGCCCCCGGACCCTCGCACCCCCCCCTCCGCCTGAGTCACAGCGCCTGAGTCCCCATGCGGAGATGCAGTGAGCACAGCTGGACACCGCGGGCCGGGGCGCAGTGTGGGCCTCTGGGCCGCCCAGCGGCACTGCATGGAAGCCGGGAGGGCAGTACACTCTCTCCCAGCCGGCCTCACAGACCGGCTCCTGCATGAACCCACAGGAAGCACGACCAGCCCCTTTGATCCCGGCAGCTGCGGCCTGGCTCAGCCAGAAGAGGCCGTGCGGGTGCAGGGTGGGCTCCTTGTAGGCACCTGGAACCTCAGCGTGGGGGCTTCCCTGGCACATGCCCTGGCGTCCTGGGGGAGGGTAGCAGGGGGAGTGAGAGTGAGCTCGGCGAACACCCCACATTCTCACTGCACTTCTGTCCTCGTCACCCCCACCTGCCAGGTAGCTGGCAAGAGGTCACAGCCCCCGGCCTGGGCACCGCGGGAGGTTGGTCACTGCCACCCACCCCCAGTTCCCCATCCCAGCCCAGGGCCTGGCCTTGATCGGGACATCAGGGGCTGCTGACTGCTGGTCACCATTTGCGGGGCGATCGGTGGGGCGATCAGGCCCCTGCTCACTCGCACCCGCCTTGGCCTGGCACTGCCCACTCACCTACTCCACCATCCCACCATGATCTCACTCTCATTGGGGCCCTTCAGGGCCAGCAGCGCCTTCACTGCCACCCCCTGGTGGTCAGCGCACATCATAGCAAGTGGTCAAACTCCTGGCCAACCAATTTGCATATTTAGGCTTTTATTATATAGGACTAGAGGCCTGGTGCATGAAAATCATGCATGGGTGGGATCCCTAGGCCTGGCCAGCAATCAGGGCTGATCAGGGTCAGGCTGATCAGTGTCAGGCCGGAGAAGAGGCGATGGTTGCTGGGCCAGGCGTGGAAGGAACAGACGCTGGACACCACCATCATTGGCACTCTGCCACTGCACAGTTCCCTGCATCCCCCCTCTCCTTCCCTTGCCACAGCACCACTACCGTGGTGGGCAGGTGGCGGGCCGATCAGGACCTGCTGGCCAGGGTGAGGGATAGGGCACAGGAGGTTGGCCGCCAGACGCGAGGACAGAGCCAGCCCTTGGCCCCTCTGAAAGGGGCCACGTGCGCTGCTACTCATCCCCGGTTCCCCATCCCAGCCCGGGGCCTGGCCCCAATTGGGTGATTGGAGCCTGCCGGCCGGGGGTGGAAGTAGGGGAGGGGCCGCAGGAGGTTGGCTGTGGGAGTGCACTGACCACCAGGGGGCAGCTCCTGCATTGAGCATCTGCCCGCTGGTGGTCAGTTGCATGTCATAGCAACTGCTTATATATAGGCTTTTATATATATACTAGAGGCCCTATGCACGAAATTCGTGCAAGGGGCTTGGCCCTCACAGCCACAGTGGCTTGCCTCTGCCCTCACAGCCCTGGCTTCGTCCAGAAGAACATCCAGAAGGTCATTCAGCTGTCTAGTCTAATTAGCATATTATGCTTTTATTATTATAGATAGATGGTTCTATTCCAGGGGTGGGCAAACTTTTTGACTCGAGGGCCACAATGGGTTCTTAAACTGGACCGGAGGGCCGGAACAAAAGCATGGATGGTTTGTGTGAACTAATATAAATTCAAAGTAAACATCATTACATAAAAGGGTACGGTCTTTTTTTTTTTTTTAGTTTTATTCATTTCAAACGGGCCGGATCCGGCCCACGGGCCGTAGTTTGCCCACGGCTGTTCTATTCTCACTGTGGTAAATCCTATTTCTCTAAGATTGACATAATCCATAGATTCAATAAACATATATTATGTCTCCTATAAAGTAGGCCAAGTTCTATATTAGTACCAGGAATATAAATAAAACATGTAGTCCTTGCTTTCAAATAACTCCTGACCTAAAGGTGAGAAAGACAAATACATGATTACAATATAATAATTTTAAAAGCTAAAAGAAAGTTTCATTAATTAAAGCAAGGTCCAACCAACTCCAACCCACAGGCCAAATCTGGCCTGTCTCCTACTTTCACACAGCTAATAAACAAAGAATGTTTTTTGCACTTGTAAATGATTGGGAAAAAAGTAATATTTTGTTCAAATTTCAGTGTTCATAAATATCTCTTGGATCACAGCACACACATTCAATGATGTATTGTCTATGACCACTTTGGTTCTATAGTTGCATAGTTTAATAGTTGTGACAGACACCATATGGTCTGCAAAGCCTAAAATATGTACCGAAAATGTCTCTACAGAAAATGTTTGTTGACCTCTGACTTACAGGATTCATTTCAAAAGACATTCAGTGTGGTACATATAAGGCATAATAGGCCCTTGCAAACATACAGCTTAAGTGAACAGGACTGAAGTCAAACGTTCCTCCGCGGCTTTGAGATAGCCCTAAGAGAATCAGATAGGAAGGAGTGTGTTAGGAATACGTACCGAGTGTCCCTAGTGCAGTGGGCCGCGGTGAGGACCCAGCTATTCGTCACTAAGCTTCCCCCACAGATATGAGCCATGATTTTTCCGGAGCGAATCTGCAGGCTCACTATCCAGGGCCACGCGCCAATCTGGGCGGCCGTGCCCCCGACGATCCGAGACCCTGTCAGCACGTTCACGAGCGGAGCTGTTCCACAACCTGCAAATAAAAACGATACATCACTTAGACCCAACATCTCATAACAGGCATTACCTCCTCATCTTAGCACACTGATGCAGGCTTTGAAACTCCTACTTTAACAACTGGTCAAGCGAGCTGGATGCCATATTCTGAGGGAGGAAAAAAAGGAGAGTTAAGGTAATCAGGTCTTATTTATAAGGAGAATGACATGAAATCAACACAATCCATCAATGTTTAAAGCTCTGTTGCCCAAAAGCATAAAAATGAGATGTTTTTCTGGCCAGGTGTTATGTTCTTTCCCCGGGGGAACTGGTGGAGCCAAGGGCCACAAGTTCCAATACTTGCCACTTTTATTTTTAATTGTCCTGATCTGTAGCCTGAAAAGGTCGGAATTCCCATGAGTCCTTCCTCTGTGAAACGGGAATGACGAGCCCCTCAGAGAGAGGACCTGCACATGCGCCCTTTTTGCTTTTATTGCTGCTCTTGTCGAGGTGACGGCCCGACAGCTCGGTCCGCCCGTCTTTGGTGAACGGCACCCGGGACGACGGGAAAGGGGGCCCCGAACCAGCGCTGTGGGCGCGGGGAGAGGAGGGGACGTCCGGGGGGAGGGAGGGAGGGACACATACTGCCCTTGGCGTCCGGCCTGTCCCCGGAGGGGCGCCCGCCCCCGTGCGAGAGCGAGGGGCGCCCCGGGAGGAGGAGGGCGCCCCCCAGCAGCAGCAGCGCGGCGCCCAGCGGCCCCGGCCGCATCGTGGGACTCCGGCCGGCAAGATGGCGCAGGCCGCCCACCCGCCGGCCACGCGGCGGGGCGGGTGGGGCGGGGCCAAGGCCGCCAAGGAGTGGCTGGCGGTGCCCGGTGGGTCCGCCTCGCCGAGGTGTCCTAGTGTGTGTGCACTTATTGGACAGACGCACTGAAGAGTCCCGCCCTCGGCCGGGCTCGGGGCTCCTGATTGGATGAGGCTTTCCCGGGCCAGGCCCACACACCTGCCCGGGACAGCGGGCCTGGGTGGTGGGAGGGGAGGTGCCGCCAGGGGGCTGCTCAGCAAAGGCGGCCAAGCTGGGAACCGGGAGGTAAAGGCATTGGGGGGACGCAAGTTCTGTGATACAGGTCGATCTCATAATTAATCGTCTTGCAGTAGTTTGCCTTGAGCTGATCTCAGGGCGAGCTGATACAATCACATGCAAGGACCTGCAAAGTTGAGGACGCAGCCTGACTGCAGGTAACGGCACGCCGCCTCCACTTCAGTCCCTAGCCTGAAAGATGCCTGATCCCGGCCCTGTCAGAATCCCTGAGACGCCCCCTTGCCGCTGCAAACTGTGGGGAGAGGGTGCAGAGAAGTGCCTCCAGTTAATGGATGCATTGAACAGGTAACCTTACACTCGGTGCTGTACAGGGAAATGGTATCATTTCCTGGGAAGTGTGGTAAGCCCTGTCCGTCCGACCCAGAGAATTTGGTAACTTGGCTAAGCACCCAGCCCAAGCCCGACACCAATCAGACACCAGGGAGTGGTGTGGGCTGTGGCCCTCTGGGAAGGCGCCCTGCAGGAGGGGTATGTTAGCTGGGCCTAGATTGAGGGGGAATGTCAAGAAGAGGAAGGAGATGTAGTGAAGACAGGCTAGGCTAAGGCACAGCATAAGCAAAGGCATGGAATTTTGAAAATTAATAAAGGAAACCTCAGCCAAAACTGGAGTCTGGAGGGCCTGTAGGGGGGAACGCTCACACCCTATCACTCATCATTGGTTGCCCCGAACTGGAAGAGATATGCCTTGATTTCCAGCAGGGAGATGTTTTCTACTCTAGTACCCCAACAAAAGGAAGATTTTCTCCTTCCCCAGCAATGGCAACCACTCAGAGATTGTCACAACGCAGCCAATGAGAAGTCAGTAGAGTTTGAACTCCCAGTTTTCTCCAATGGACTCTTTGTTTATAACAGTTTCTCCCAACTTCCCCTTTCCTCCACAAGAGAAAGTTCCTCTCCTTGGTTCTCCAGGCTTGACTGGTTTTGTCATCGCTCACATGCCTTGAGTTGCAATTCTCTGCTATTCCTCAATAAACCCATTTTTGCTGGTAGAATAGCTTTTATTTTTTTAAGGCCAATAATGTGTACCCATGCATTTCTCCAGAGAAATAGAACCAGTAGGACCTGTAGAGGAGATTTATTATGGGAATTGGCTCACACCATTGTAGAGGCTGGGAAGTCGCACAGCATGCCATCTGCAAGATGGAGAACTAGGAAAACCAGTGGTATAGTTCAGTCCCAATCCAAAAGCTGGAGAACCAGGAGCTCTGATGTCTGAGGACAAGAGAGATGGATGTCTCAACTCAAGAAGAAAGGGAGAATTTGCCTCTTCTCCACCATTTTCTTTTATTTGGACACTCAATTGATTGGATTGTATGACAACCACCCACATTGGTGAGGGCACATCTTCCTTACTCAGTCTACTAATTCAAATGCTAATTTCTTCCAGAAATGAACTAACAGACACAACCAGAAATATTATTTTACCAGTTATCTGGACATCCCTTAGCCAAGTCAAGTTGACACATAAAATTAACCATCAATGTGAATATTGTTTCTCGGCCTGTTGGCTAAAATCAAGTATGATGCAATGTGTGTATGTATAATTTATTATTTTTATTTCAGTTGACATGCAATATTAGATTACTGTTAAGGGCACAATATAGTGATTAGACATTTAGATAGATTATAAAGTTATCACCCTGATAAGTCTAGTATCCATCTGACACCCTATGTAGTTAATATATTGTTAACTATCTTCCCTGTCCTGTACTTGACACTCCCAGGACTGTTTTTATAACTGGCAATTTGTACTCTTAATCCTTTTCACATTTTTTACTAGTCCCCTAAACACCCCTCCCATATGGCAACCATCAGTTTTCCTCTGTATCTATGCGATTGTTTCTGTTTTGTTTATTTATTTTGTTTTTTAGATTTCATATATAAATGAAATCACATGGTATTGGTCTTTCTCTGACTTATTTCACTTAGCATAATACCCTCTAGGTCCTGCTGTGTTGTTACAAATCGTAAGATTTCATTCTTTTTATGGCTGAATAGTATTCCATTGTATATCTGTACCACATCTCCTTTACGTATTTATGGATGGACACTTAGGCTGCTTCCTGTCTTGGCTACTATAAATAATGAACATAGTGCATATAATTTTTGAATTAGTGTTTTGAATTTCTTTGGATAAATACCCAGAAGTATTTATATGGTAGTTCTTTATTTAATTTTTTGAGGACCCTCTATGCTGTTTTCCATAATGACTGCACATTTATATATTTTGAATATTAACTGCTTATTGGACGCCTCATTGGCAAAGGTCTTCTCCCATTCAATAGGTAGTCTTTTCATTTTGTTGATGGCCCTTCACTAGGCAAAAACTTTTAAATTTGATGTACTGCCATTTGCTTACTTTTTTCCTTTGTTTCCCTTGCCTGAGCAGACATATACAAAAAGATATTGCTGAGAGCGATGTCACAGAGTTTATAGCCTGTGTTTTCTTCTAGTTTTATGGGTTCGGGTCTTCCATGTAAGTCATTAATTCATTTTGAGTTTATTTTTTTTCTTTTTGAATTTATTTTTGTATATGGTGTAAGAAAGTGGTTTAGTTTCATTTGTTTCGCATGTATCCGTACAGTTTTCCCAACACCATTTATTGAAGAGACTGTCTTTACTCCATTGTATATTCCTCTCTAGTTTGTGAGTTTATTTCTGGGCTCTCTGTTCTGTTCCATTGGCCTATGTGTCTTATTTTAGTAATCAAAACAGCCAGTACCATGCTGTTTTGATTACTATAGCCTTATATTTTGATAGCAGGTAGCATGATACCTCCAACTTTATTCTTCTTTGTTACGGTTGTTTTTGCTATATGGGGTCTTTGTAGTTCTATATAAATTTTTGGTTTGGTTGTTATAGTTCTGTGAAAAATGCCATTGATATTTTAATAGGGATTGCATTAAATCTATAGACTACTTTGGGTAATATGGACATTTTAACGATGTTAAGCCTGGTATATGCTTCCATATATTCGTATCTTTTTCGATTGCTTCAAAGTCTTGTCGTTTTCTGAGTACAGATCTTTACTTCCTTGGTTAATTGAGGCATGTTCTCTCTATCCCACTTGGTAAGATTTTTTTATCTTTAAAAAAAGTTTTTTAAATTGATTTCAGAGAGAGGATCGGAGAGGGAAAGGGATAGAAACATCAATGATGAGAATCATTGATCGGCTGCCTCCTGCATGCCCCCTACTGGGGATCAAGCCTGCAACCCGGGCACGTGCCCTGACCGGGAATCGAACTGTGACCTCCAGGTTCATAGGTCAATGCTCAACCACTGAGCCAGCTGGGCGGGCTGTTTTCCACTTATTTATGCATTCCTTTGTTGACTCTTGTATGAGCCTTGACCAGTGACTAAACCCACAACCCTGACGTATTGGGACGATGCTCTAACCAACTGAGCTACCCGACCAGGACGTTTTGCTAATATTTTGTTGAGGATTTTTCCATCTATGTTCATCAGGGATATTGACCTATAATTCTCTATTTTTCTTGGAGTGTCTGTCTGATTTTGTTCATGTCAGTTGTGTTCTTCAGTTTTAACTGGTTCTTTTTTATTCTTTTGTTTCGCTTTGTTGAAGTTCCCACTGAGTTCATCTGTTCTTCCTCTAAGTTATAATCAGGGTTTTGAACTTCTGGTAGATTGCTTACCTCCATTTTATTTAGTTCTTATTCTGGAGTTTTGTCCTGTTCTTCCATTTGGGACATATCTCTTTTTCTCCTCATTTTAACCGACTCCCTATGTTTGTTTCTGTGTATTAGGTAGATCTGCTACATCTCCTGGTCCCTCCAGCCCTCACCCTGACAGAGTGGCCGAAGGTGTCCTATTGGGACCAGTGGTGCATTCTCCCTGGTCCCCTGAGCTGGGTGCTACAGGTAGTCCTCTGTGGGGGTTGTGTATGCCCCCCTGTTGTGGTTGGGCCTCTACTGCTGTTGATGCAAATGAGTGGGGTTGACCCTCAGGCTGACTGGCTACGAGGATGGCTGTGACTACAGCAGATGAGCTGCTGTGCAGGTACTGACCCCACAGAGCAGGCGCTGCTTTAGTGGGGCTCTGGTGCCTGCCAGGTTTTCCCTTCAGATGTGCTGTTTATGGGGCTAGTTGGGTGGTGCTCTGATATGGTCCAAAGCCAGCCACTGTTGATTCTGGAGCTTCTTGGGAGGAGTTGCAGTGCAGGTCAAGATCAGCCACAACTTGTGCTGGGCTTGGGAGAGGCTATGCTGCAAATTGAGCCTGGCTG